AAAACGCTACGAATTAATTCCAACACCTAATACATATATGTCGAATTTCTTTGTCGAACATATTTCTTTGTTAAACATATTTGTCGAATTTCTTTTTTGACGAATTTCTTTTTTGACGAGATTCAATGTAATGTACATGTGGAGAGAAACCGGAAAAGAAAGCGAAAGAAAATGCTGTCTATTCTTTGTAGATTCATTATATGAGATTATCTTGTCTTTTTTCCCCATAAATATATTTTCCATAAATGTATAAAAATATATAAAAATTAAAAGAATATCAGTGTCCATTCTCACGAATATTAAAATCAACGATTTAACTGATTCTCTCACACTCACTCTAATTGTATTGAAAGAGAGGGGAAGGAGTGAGAGAGTTGAATCTTAATAAACTCCAATGTTTATATTAACATTGATTATATTAACATATCTCAAAAATATTCATACCTTTTTTGATGCAAGATATTCCATGCCTCTGGCCACGCAATAACCGAAAACCGTGAGATCCCTGGATGTTAAGGCTGCTGAATCCTCGCTGAAGTTGTAAAAGTACTGCCTGGTACGGTGATCGCGCAGATACGCAAGCAGTTTGCCGTACATGACGTATTCCAGTATGAGATAATGAGGCTCTGCAATCAGAGAAAATCATGCATTAAATCCTTTATGTTCATTCATGGAAGAGCGCATTGGAGCATGTCGCTCCTGCGTTTCGAATAAGGGGATCTCAATCAGCGAAGGATAACTCTTATTCATCAACTCTTACTCACGATTCAAATGAATAATGCCATTTTCAAGAGACGAAGCGAACGTATAGTATCACGAAGTACATCGTGTGTATTGAATTTACTTCAATAATGATTTACCATTCGTGGCATATTTTACCGCGGTTCAATAAATCGAAAACATCGCCATGTGAAACGCAGCATTTTTCTTGACCTCCGTTACGCTTTCGTAAGATTGATCGAATTTTTTTCCGATTGCATCAATCGATTGCATTATAGTCGAAACAAATGTAAATGTGTAATCGATACGTTTAAATTGCGAACTTATACATGGAACTCTTTGTATCATAAAAATATAACTTTATTCGAACAATAATTCATTTAAATCTTAGCATATTTCAACATTAAATAGAATAAATTAATTACAATATGTATAATAATTATGTATCATTATCGACGTTAAATATTATAACATCGCTTATTTATTACGACATAATTCAAAAGTTATTATTTTGAAGTTTACTTATAGAAAAGGAATAGAAATGTAAAGAAAAACAGGAAGAACACTTTCATTTTTCAGTTATTACATTGAAATTATATTTGAAAATTAGCATTACAAATTTTAATGATTCAAAACATTCAAGCTCATTTTCTGAAAAACTTTATTTTTTTTTAATTGGGTCATTATTGTAACAAATGAGCGACATATAATTGGAAAGGAACATTTGAATATTTAATTATTGCTTTAATAAAGTTTTTAAGTAAAATTTTAATTATATTATATTTATTTATTTGCCATGCTTTTATCGTCACGACGATAGATAAAAAAATGTACGATTAGAGGAACACATGGTGAGGATGTTGGAGAAATATTTCATATTCGAAATAATTTAAGAGACACACTCTTGGAAGAATCTCACTTAGGTAGTACCCGCTTGATTGTAACTTATGGAGCCACTTTTGTCGGCGTGTCGAATCGTAATTCTCATATTAGACCGATATTACGATCCTCCCTAATAATTCTTGTTCGCCAAGTAGCATAAGTTAGGCGTGTGCTGCTCGCTCCAAATTAATCGCGTTAGTACGTTTTTTAAACGTAATACTTACAATGCTTGTTTCGATCGTTTAAGTCGCGCGTTATTAACGTGTATTAGCAATTCAATACCGTAACACTGTACTGAATAAGTTGTATCGCAATTACCACGCTGTACTATGTATGCTTATACACGAACATTAATGTATCAGTACATTAAGCTTTATTAAATCCGACAGAAATTATCAATTAATAGAAAAATACAAATAAAAAGATCACTACTAAATTTGCAAATTATTTATTAATTTGATAAAAAGAAAATAAAAAAGATTATTTTATAAAATCACTCTTGAAAATTAACAAATCCCGAAGATTTTCTTGCTACAATTACCTTCATTGCCGTAACCATATAAATTAAAAATTTGGTTCCAGATATTTATATATATTATAATTTAAATATTTTATAAAGAATTACAGTTAAAAATATTGAATTAACGATCGCTGCGTACAAAGGATTTCTCTTCAAAAGCAATGCTTATTCTCTCGTTGGCACATGATATATTTAACCTCCATTGTCAAACACATGCGTGTTGAATTCGTTGAACTCGTTGCAAAAATTACGGATCCGCGCCTATGACGATCGATATGGCACGTGCACGATACAATAGGCGTGACGAATGTGAAGTAATACGAGTGCGCAGTACGTGGGCTGTGATATCGTTCACGTTTCATTTTCACGTAGATCATATTTTGCGCATGCACGACTGATAGAAACGCGTTCGAGGAAACGATGAAACGACGATACGCAGACAAGAATAAAATATATTTGGCCGGCGTGTTGTAGAACAAGTTTCTCTCGGATCTTCTGTTAATCTTACGTGCGTCATCGTATATGGAAATCATTCGGAGACAGTTAATAGGTTGTAAACAAAATTATAAATGCAATAACATTGAGACTTTGACGCGAATCAATTAATTACGCGTCATTATACTTTGAGATTTTTAAACCGCAAAGTATAATGAGGCGTAATTAATTCTATTGAATTTTGGGAATTTATTTTTAAAATGAATCACACAAAATATTAAAAAATCATTTAACGACATGGCAAGTTAAAGTAAGCCTAAACGTAAAGCCTAAACCTAAGTATGCTATCAGTCTCTTAAATTTCCAAGATATTATCATGAAGAATTCCAGTGCCAAGAAAGAAGATACTACGTTCCCGAGTTCGCAGATTTTAAAGAATGCTGCTTCTTAATGTCGCTCCTATTTCATACACGTCGTCGTGAAAGCAAATAAGCCGCCGAAACTCGATTAGGGACAGAAAGAAAAAGCGGACAATGGCTAAATAAGAGAGGCACATCATTTTTATAGGACACATAGCATTTTTTTGGACTCAGAGAAAATCGTTTCGCGATAAAACAAAACTCAAATTATGATGTCTTCATCAAGCATTAATGCATAAATTCAATGCGCGCGGTGTGTTAAAAATATTAATTTATTTGTAATACAAATAAAATGCCTATATAAACTTCCGGGGTTATTAGTGCATAAATCAAATTAATGAATTCATAAGTCGATAAGAGATAATTCGCAATATTACCAATCTAAAACTTGCAGTTAACTGTATCAAACTTCGTTTGATAATACACATTCCAATTGTTTGCGAATTATATCTTATCGCTTTATGGATACATAATTTACGTACCTCGGAGATTTATGTAATAGCCTATTTTACTTGTATTTTACTTTGTATTGAATTTATTTTCAAAGCCACAAAACCTATTAATCTAATTTATTTTAATTTAATTTGTTTTTCTCTAAGATTGACAAATTTCTTTCCTAAAACGTTAGAAATATGAGAATTTACCGAATCTTTAATGTCTGCCACCCAGTTCTTCGGCTGTTAATAATTCTCTTGGCGGTCGAAGCACGACTGTTCAACGTGAGACGTTTATTTTCGTCTGAACGGCGATCGTAAAATGGTCAAAAGACTTTCCTTTGACGAACATCGCCGGAAAGAAATTCGGACGTGGCCGCAAACGGCGATAAACGTGATAGGACCGAAATTTAAATGTCGTAAATTTTATGCGGTGGTCTCGAGTTTCTGAACCGTTAGGAACTTTCCACGTTCACCATTGTGCGAGCTGTGAAGAGAACTCTTTAAGGTTCCCACTCCCTGAATCAGCGACGCCCAAAATGCTGGCACACCTCTAAGCGATTTGCCGCAGCAATCATCTCGACTTTTACTGCGCTCACAATGAGCATCTATCGTTATAATTGTTTGTCCTACCGAACAAATATCTTTCCTTCCCGAGTTTATTTCTCTCGTGAATAATTTTTTTCAGCAATTAAATATTGATTAGCTCTATGTTCACTGTTCATGAGAGCAAGAAATATTAAAACGATTGATAATATTTCCAACACAATAATCAATATAATAAAAACTTAACGCCAGATTTTATTGATGAATTTTATTTCTATTAAGGGAGAATTTCTGTAAAAACAATCCATGTATAAATAAAAAATGTATTAAAAAATTATACAAAAGTTTTGTTAAAATAAGATTATTATAACTAACTTGACTTTTTAAAGAATATTAAATAAAATAGAAATTAAACAGAGCCTGACTTTTTAATAACTTATTTTAATTAATTGATAGAAATGAAGCAATATAATTTTAATAATCAAAGCGAATAACGTTATCGCACTGTTACACTTAAATGAGTTGATCATCCGCCCGATTGTATCACCACTCGTTTTTTTCATTTAGCCTCTTTTGATTCGCAAATTGAACGGTCGTATCGCGAAGTATCCACTTAATAAACATATTGTATAACAATGAGGCACTTCGCGGGGATGCGTATGGAAATTTATACGAACGATGAGAATGACGATATCGAACAACACATGGAAGAGAAGAAAGAGATATAATGGTCTCTGACTCCCCGATTTATTTGTGATGTACAAAATTGCTCAAACATTTTTTATGTTTCTATCTTCAAATTTGCCTTCTGCAAAAAAATGCTCAACAAATTAATATTTTATTTGTGACAATATATGTCTTTTTTGTCCGTCAATTTTCTAATTAAAAAAAAAATAATACACACACAATGTTTATAAAATTTCAAAAATTATTATATTTGAGTTAAAATTTTACCTACAGATATATTATAATACTATATTATACTGAGAGAAATATTTATGATTATTACATAATAAAAATAATTATGATTTGAAGCTCTATTTTTAAAATTATTATTCGCTATAATATTAATAATAATAATTATACATTAATAATTCTCCCAAATGTATATATAATAGTTTGCACCGAAAATGACTATAAATTATAGTTAAAGTATGATAATTGTTTAAAATGATCATTTTCTCTCAATAAATGAGACTGTACATAAGTATATATATTTTTTTTCATGAAAATTATTCTTTATATGAAAAATATAGATTTGAACGTAACACGTGGAATAAAATTTTTAATGTTATTCAAAGATTTATTTCCTACATCCAAATTTCCCGATAAAGAATTTTAAATATATTCTTAAGTATATTTTTTATTGAAAATGATTAAAGTTCTGGAAAGCCATATTTAATTTTTTCTCGTAAAAAGTAATTTTTTCATAATAAAGATCGTTCTTCAAAAAAACAATCTATTGGAGTATTTATCTGCAAGAAAATTATTTACCAATTCGTTACGCACGCACTTTCGATAATGAAGCCTCGGTGCCTTCGATTACTCGATTCGATATTGTGGAAGCAGGATGCTGCGATTTTTAATCAATTATATGATGAAATAACCAAGGAATTATACATCGATTACACTTTTGTTTGCAAATAGATGCAATCACTGATGCTTTTACGCAAACTTATGCATAAAGGAACAACAATTGCGTCGTATCAAGTGGAAAATTTATTTTAATTGAAAAAAATATTAATAATTTATTTCCGTCCGTAAAATCAAGATTTCAAGATAAATAATTTTGATTTAACATCGTGGAGAAACAACATTGGTTAAAAAATACATAATACATTGTTTATAGTAGTATTTAATTTGCAGTTTTCAAGTTTGTGAATGTTACCTATAATTATCTATTAAAGCACAATAACAACGCAAACAAAACGGATAAAATCTTTTTCAAAACAAAGTAATTCTTACAGAATTATCATAATGACTGTTTAATTTATCGTCTAGGCAAACACAATCGCAGAAAGACAAACATTTTCACGCTGACCATTTAATCGAATTCCCGCATAACTGCGTCTTATTATGCAATCATGTTTAAAACATATAAACGAGTCATTCAACAACAGTAAAACATGCAAAACGCATTTCGCATATTTTGATTTCCAATGTAAATATGCGATTTAAAGAAGCGATAAAATATTTTCCCTGGCATTTGTAGTTTTGACACATTTAAACGGTTTAAGATATTGGATAAAGTAAATTAAGTCACGACGAGATCACGACGGGGATTTATTGTTTTATTATATTTAATTATAATATTTATTAACCACGTGGAACATTCACGGCAATTTTATTAGTTTGAATAATGAGAACAGGTTGCTAATTCGCAGCTTGTCTGCGAATTTCGATTAAATTGCAAGGACGACTAGTGTATCGCAAACGCATCGCTGTGGAGGCGGTGGCAGCGACCTGATTGGAGGAGTCGTAATCCAGATCCGTGGTTCTATCTGTGTATTCCTCTCTTCGGCGGAACATGATTACTTAATTACTATATACCGACGATTCGTGCATTTTTTCTGCGTCGAAGTGCCGGCAGTTAAAACGGTTTTTATAAAGTTTATCAAGCGGCTGCCAAGGCCCGTACGCGAGCGGCGACATGCAAGGTCGTAGTTAAGTGACGATAATGAGGAAGATTCACCGAGTACAGTTGCGGCGTGCAGCTGCAGGTGCAGCGCCGATTGCGCGTCGATGCAAATCGAAATAGGGACCGCGTAAGGATGCATTTTCGCGAGAAATTGCGCGATGCGTGTCGCACCGTCGGTACGTGTCGATGCCATATGGTGTATTCCTCCTCTCGGTTGATTATAGTGTACGATCAGATGCACCACGTATACAACGTACAGGAATGATTCAAGATGAAAGTAATTTTATGTTAATTGAAAAAAGATTATACTACGTTCGGTTAGATGTTCGAGCAATTACGTTTGAGAAGTGCAGGCTATTAAATTAATATTATTCATCCTAAGGTTTATTTTTGTTTGTGAAATTGTAAAATTCATTCAAACATACTATTAAGCGCTAACATTTTTTATCAAATATGACTTTTTTCGCTTCTGTGTGTTTATTTATTAATTTAAAAAATTTTTATTCTATTTTGGGTGAAATTTTTGATTGAACTGTAAACATTAATTAATAAGATATAATTAAACGTATAATCAGTAACTAAAAAATTATTCGCCCATATATAATACCTTTACTTTAAAAAATATTAATCTTTTAATGTACTAATTCATAAAAATTTCAATCCATTATATAGGATGTATTTACATATAATAATAAAATATAAATGCTGAAAGGGTTTTTTTAACATTCTGTATAATTTCAATCTTTTATATCTTGTATAGCTACTCTTGTATACGTAAGTTCTGCATCACGTATTTATTGAAAAAATATCAAACAGATTAATATTATATACAACTTACCTTCTTCAGTGCAGCAACCTAAAAGTGTTACGACATTTGGATGATTGCCTAATTGCTTCATAATTTCGAGTTCTCGATCTAAGTCTTCCTTTTCTCGATCAGAAGCGCCTTCTTTGATGGTTTTCACTGCTACTAATCGAGTCGTGCCTTGATGACCTGTCAAATCGTCAGCTTCGGCCTTCCACACCTGATATTGCAATTTAATCATATTTCAAATGTTTATTAATTGTAAGCTTTAAAAAGATTTTGTTCCTTTTTAAATTTGCAATTAATTTACTCTTGCATTTTTGTAAATGCATTCCATCTAAATAATGCCAATTATTGATAATCATAATTTAAGATTACGGATTTTAATCTTTTTCCTGTTCGTTTTATGTTATTAGAGGTGTTTATTGCCACTACTTTGGAAATTTATAATCACAATGGGAAAACAATTATACCAATCGCTGTGCGATTATTTAATTAATAGAAAAAAAAATTCCATCACAATAGATTACACATTCCCCAAGTTTTCTCACAATTTTGCATCAATTCGAATGTATTATGCTAACTACCCATTATTGTATCTTATAAATAAGTACGACGTTCAAATCGCGCACGTCGAAAGCTGTTATTACTGTCGAAATCAACGTCGATAGAATTGCGCAAGTAAAAGAATAGATAAAATCGCTGAGGAAATATCGGAAGAAGAAACTGCTGAACTTGGCCGCGAAGATTGCGTTTCCGCATGGACTTCAGGTATTTCGTTAAAATCTTTCCGACAGCCGCAAATTACAGGCTGCCTTTTTTATAGGGATGCCGCAAGAAGTATCTTCTCACCTGGCCGAAGTTTCCTTGCCCGAGGACTGTCTGTAATCTAAGCTTATCTCTAGGAAACTCCCATCTGGATTCTTGAGATGGCGGAGGCGGCGGTTTCTCAGCTTCGTGACACTGCGCGGAGAGATGAAGATTAAACTGCAGTTAAGAATTGCCTAAAAAATAGCTGCTAATTGACATGCATGGGAGCGCATGAAACGTTCGATACGTCGCGTCGTCTGGAATTAATCTGTCTCGCGTCTATTGCTGACGTAAATTTCTTTTATGTTAAGGAACTTCCGGGATTTTTCATTGACGTGTCTCTATGCATAATGCGATTTTCCCATACGCGAAACGCGTGACGAAATCAATATATTATTATGTATGCAATAACTCGCTCTGAATATTTATGCAAATTATTTCTTCAAATAAAAAACAAAGAGACAGCTATTAATTAAATTATATTAGTAAAATTGATTTTATTTATAATTATTTATCATGTCTAAAATAAAAGTGGTTATAATTTTAAAAATTAAAAAAAACAAAGAACATAAAATACCACAGCACAGGCTGTCGGTTGTGATGATACTTTATCCTGTCATATAAGCTGGTGTTGTAATATTGCCGCACGATCATCGTCACACTAATAAGAACACTTTTAATCTATTTTAACATACGACCGATGTACTTATTTCGACTGAATGTAAAAAATTTTTGCGTTTTGAAAGGATGTTTAATTACTGAAGATGGCCAGATTGTGGCCGAAACGTTTAATCGCTTATTTATTGATATGGGTATTGATTAACGCTTGAATAATTCATTATTGAATAAAGTTTTAATCATCACAACCGACAACCTGTGCTGTGGTTTTTTATGTTCTTTTTTTAATTTTTAAAATTATTTATCAAATTAATTTGATTTATAAATAAAATCATTTTTATTAATGTAATTTAACAACTCCGTTCTGTCTCCGTTCTTTTTATTTGAATAAATAATTTATAAAATATGAATAAAATTAATTTTGATATTAGGATACACGTAAATTATTTGGCCCAAATATCTTTTTGCGTGATCACTAAATTAAATAAAGTACAATGCAATTGAAAAAATTCACACCATGTGACGACGCGTCAAAAAGCTGTGCAAACAATTACTACGTGACTGCTGTCGCATTAAATATCTGAGAGTGTTCGTTAATTTCTCACCAAGTGCTGTATCCTCGGTAGTTTCGTGATCGCCTTCTCGATGGACGTCTTAAAGTCGCCGTTTTCGAGATTAAGAGCGTCCTTCCTGCAGCTTATCTCCGATGACGTGTCCGACTCCTCGAGCACCTGCATAAGCAAATCAACGTCAGCGGAATGTATGTGCAACATGCCGCTCGCACGCGCATCGGCGAGCCATTTGAATCGGTCGTCACTCCCGTTTAATTGGGAGACGCAATGAAGATCAGTGGGATAAATTGAGGTGTCCTGTGAGTATTTCCGCGAACAATATTGCCGGAATAGACGAATATATTATAATTCCATGCAAATATATAACGTCGTTTTTTTACAAAGGCGATCAGATGCACATAAATAATGCAAAAATGATGACCAATTATTGTATATCTTCGTAGCTTTCAAGAATAAAATTAATTAAATTGCACTGGAATATTTTTAATATGAGAATAGTGATAAAGAGAATAATTTGCTTCCCGCAGAGCACAAACTAATAGTAACATCAATGTTGTAATTTTCCACTATATTATACATGGCAGTTGTTGAGTGGAAAATTACAATATTGATGTAATGTTACTTTGTATTCTGCGAATTATGAAGAATTTTTCTCTACACCAAGTATCAATCATATTTGGTTATAATTATGCAACGTATTCATGCACAAGTTATTTTAAAGAAGAGCATCTATATAGAGTCGCTTATGTCATGCGAGAATCATCAGGAAAACGGATCGGTTTGCCTGTCGACGATGAAATTTCAATCTTGAAGAACACAGCACATCCGAGTTTAGCATCGACCTCATCTGAACTAACTTGGCAAGCCCGAAAACGATCTCGCTTATTTATATGGCCCCTGTACTCATCCTTTCTCCCTTCTCCCTTCATTTGCGTATTCCTTTTTTTACCGTCCACGCAAACCTTTGTACCGCCATTCAGATTTATTTCCATGACTGTCAGGTTAAATTTAAATTTATGCCCCCGTTATTATTTATGAACGTCTCGCGGGCGTGAAAGCATTTCGCTTATGTCATTTCCGGAAATTTTGTGGTCTGCGCCATTAATCCCGCTATCATTTCTGACGCCAAAAAGATTGTTGACACTTATTCGCAAGAAATGGAATTTCCGTAATTAAAAACTATAATATAATAGAAAATGTGGTTCTCACCAAGACAAGAAACGGAATTTTCACAATTAAAAACTGCAATATAGACTAGAAATGTGGTTCACCAAGGAATGCTAAAGAGTAAATATTAAAGTATAAATTCATTCATATCTAATTGTTGAAGTACATTATTGATGTAATTATTAATAATTACACAAATGTAATGCTCGGCACAAATATCCTTATTTTCAGACACGATTATGTTGATGAGGCTCGCACGAGAAGATATTCGACCTTCATCGCAACCTTCTTGTTGACTATTCGAGGAAAATTCCACGGAAAAAGAATCATCGTAGATAATGAGCCGAACAATTTTCGCATTATCCAACGTTCGCGTTCATTTTCTCATTTACTAATACGCCACGCTTCGTCTGATGATACTGTGCTCGAATCATCCCGAGATTATTCTGCATACAATGAACTTGTAGTAATTGCTGGGGAGGGAAAGGGAGAAGGGATAGTTAACCATTTCATGAATCACTGCAAAGCTAGCCTTCGCGAAGGAATTATTTGATGACCGCGTTTGATATTCATTCACGACGAAGTCACGGCCGTGATAACAACGCAAAATAATTGTGTTCGAAATTCAAGTAAATGATAAAATATCAAAAAATTTTTTTGCTCATCATTTTTTAACTTCCAACATAATTATTTTGATAATTCAATTATAATATTATTTTCAGCTCCAATAAAATGTTAGATCTTATAGTTAAATCGTTTTTTTCATAAATGTATTAGGTGTTGGAATTAATTCGTAGCGTTTTTTTAATGAAAGAATGTTATTTATTTCACATGAGCATTAAAAAATACATTAATGAAAGTACTTCCCATCACTTTCTACTACTTTTGACCATCTTTCGGGCAGTGAATGAATACCGCGTCGGAAGAACTGTTCATCTTTAGATGAAATCCAGGAATCGAACCATTTTGTACAATCTTCGTAAGATGTGAACTTCTGCTCGCACAAGCTATGAGCTAATGATCGAAACAAGTGGTAGTCGCTAGGTGCAATATCAGGAGAATACGGCGGGTGCGGTAGCACTTCCCATTTAAGTGTTTCCAGGTATGTTTTTACCGGTTTTGCAACGTGTGGGCGAGCATTGTCGTGCAGCAAGATGACTTTATCGTGTCTTTCGAAGTATTCCGACCGTTTTTGCTTCAATGCACGGCTCAAGCGCATCAGTTGCCGTCGGTAGAGATCTCCAGTAACGGTTTCATGCGGTTTTAGCAGTTCGTAGTATATGACACCCTTCTGATCCCACCAAATACAGAGCAGGAGCTTTGAGCCATGGATATTGGGCTTTGCCACTGATGTTGATGGTTCGCCGGGCTTAACCCATGACTTTCTGCGCTTTGGATTGTCATAATGGATCCACTTTTCGTCACCGGTAACAATCCGATGCAAAAAACCTTTTCTTTTCTGCCGTTGAAGCAGCAGTTCGCACGTGAGAAAACGTCTCTCAATATCCCTTGGTTTCAATTCATATGGGACCCAATGTCCTTCCTTCTGGATCATGCCCAAACTTTTAAGACGTTTTCCTATTGTTGAGAAGTCAACTTCCAATGACGTAGATAATTCTTTAAGTGTTTGACATGAGTTTTCATTGAGCAGTGCCTGCAAATCGTTATCTTCAAATTTTTTCGGCTGACCAGGTCGCTCCTTGTCATCCAAGTCGAAATCACCAGCTTAAAACCGTGCAAACCACTTCCTACACGTTTGCTCAGCCAGAGCATGTTCACTATACACATCCACTAAAATACGATGAGCTTCAGCTGCACTTTTGTTCATATTAAAGTAATGAAGCAAAACTCCCCGCAAAAACACTTTATCTGGCACAAATTTTGACATATTCAATGAATTATACAGTATAGTTATTTATGATTGACTCTGTCAGTAAGACATAACTGTGTTACAGATTTTGACATCAGCTTCAGAGGGTTCTTTAAAACCCGTTTTAATTACAATAGCTATTCAAGACGATACTTTCTAATAATTATGAGTTTAGCGAACCGCATTTAGATCATCTAATAGTCCATAACAACAGCGATTCAAATGTCGATTATGCGTTAATTATCAAAATGTTAGCACGATTCCGCTGCGATATAACAAACGTCGCTAGCCAAATAGCCATACGATAAACTCGCGATGATAATCGCCTGGTCATGCAGCGTAACGGTACGTAAGTGGCACTGTCATATGAACAGCAATTTGTACCTCAGTATCCCGTCGTGCATCAATTAAAAATAGAGTTACACGTGACGCTTTTTCATCGCTCTCCCATCTCTTCCGCTGATACGATAATCTTGATCGCAACCACACTCAAGAGAGAATAGATCTGATCTTCAATTAAATCATAATGTTCTATAAGTCATATCAGAATGAAATATTATGTTACTTACTTAAACAATATTAGGCAATCTTGTTCAATTCATCGAAAAATTTAATTTCGATCGGTCTGAATTTTTGTTTCCAATTTTTCCTACTTTTTTCTTTGAAAATTTTGAAAACAATTATCTACGTGACATTTTTTCTGTTTAATAATATTTAAATTTATATTATATTAAATACAAAACAGAGAACTGTAAATTAAAGAATTGAGATTGCATGAAAATTATTTGAGTTTAAATAAATATTAAGATATGTAAAATTTCAGAAACATAGTTTGCTTGTAAAAAATCTTCAGTTGTAATCAATAAAATAATTAATAGAATTTAGAAGATTTCGTGGATGTTTATTAATTAAACATTTAATTCGATAATAAAAATTTGGATTAATCTAAATTTTGTCTTCTTCCAACTTTTTTCTTTGCAAATTTTGGAAACAATTATTCATCTTTTAATGTTCAACAATGTTTAAATTTATGAAATAGACAAAAGAACTACAAAAAGAATTGAACTGTAGAATTGAAATTACTTGAAGATTATTTGAGTTTAAATAAATATAAGATATTTAATTTCAAAAATATAGTTTTTACGTTACATTATTTTTTAAAATGTCTTCATTTGAAATCAGTAAATTGTTGAAAAAATTTCACACATTTGGCAATTATAAAAATTACGTGCTATTCTCAGTACTTTTCTATTAAAATACCATAAATATCATATTAATTAATATAAATCCAATGTGTATCCGCAAAGCTTTCCTAAGTATCCCTCTCACAATCACGTGTTTTTGATATTTATAAACGGATTCAAATCGTGTTTACCAATTCTCCGATCACAATGCGAGACTCCATCTCGAGAAAGAGAAAGACGAAATATCACGAATCGATCTAGAGCGTGGCGATTCGCGCATACTTTCTAATCCCGATCTAAGCTAAATCGATCGCAACGCTGGCACGCTAAGCGACCTCGAAACCTCAAACTCGCTCACCTTACGATTCCTAAGTATCAGTCTTCTGAGAATGAGCCCGACGCCGACGGCGATGGGAAAGACGACAAGAGTGGCCAGGATGTAGCCGACCACAGCAACCGTCTCCTGAGCGATCACGTCGCCGTCGTGCTGCTTCAATATCACCTCACTGATGTTCATCGATTCCCGCGGGCTCACCGAGATCGGTTCTCCGGTCTCGAAGAACGTCCTGTTGAGCCCGTTGGGATGATACATCGTGCCGTTGTATTCCGGCAGAATCGAATGATGATAGGCAGGTCTGTACCTCGTCCTGTTGGTTGTGTTTACGAAAGAGGAACCTTTAGACCTTGGAGGAACAGCAGATTCCTGAGATTCACGATTCTCCTCGTGTTTGTCCTTTCGTGAGTTTGTTAAAACGGTGGGTTCCTTAGACTTGGGAACGGGAACGGTGGTCGATGTACTTCCACTAATTTCCGTCGCGTTATCGACAGTCGTCGCTAACTCGAGATTCTTCTTCGTTGTCGTCGACGACGTCGTCATCGTTCCCATGATCATCGTCGTCAATGCGGGATCGTTCTGTGACTCGGAATCCACCGGAAGCATCACATGTTCCGTATCTCGAGCGAACCCGTCCATCGACCCGCTGCTGTTGAAGATATCCGACGTGTTATACAGATGCATGATCGGTAGCACGTCGTCCTTGTCTTTTGACTTGTCTGATAAATTACGTGCCCTGACTTCCGGCGATCTCTCGCCAGACACGCGTTTCCCATTCTTCGTTATCGTGGGCGGCGACGAGGTAGGTAGGACCTTCGACCTTCTGCTCGAAGTCTTTACATGGACGTCATTCTGAATTGGCGAAACCGTTGTGATTGTCGTTGTTGATGACGTCGTTGCATCTTTTGCTCGGTACCTCTTCTGAATCTCCGAAGGGTCCAGATTGTTTTCCTTCGCGGCGTCCGTCAATCTCAAGGTGTTAGTCTCCGGATCGGTAGTGGTCCTCTCCAATTCCGACAGTATTCTAGGCGTGACCGGGAAAACCGGAGCGGCCGGCACTGTCGACATCGTCGTCGTTGTCGTCGTCGTCGTTGTTGTCGTCGTCGTTGTAATCGCGACTTCATCCACTTGCTCGATCACTGTCACGGTCGTCTCGCCGATCCCGTCTATCGTTGCGTTCACGTTGCTCTCGGTCTTGTTCAGCATCGCGATATCCTGATCGTCTTTCTGATCGTTGTTCCTGATATCGCTTTCATTTAAACTTGACTTGGTAGTAACGATATCTTCCTCAAGAACGTGAGACTTTTCCAGCTCCATCGTCGTGATCGCGTCGACGAGAACAGACGAATCGGTCGCGTCTAATGTCTCGTCGGTTGCACTCGAATTTCGATTTAAGATCCCCATGACGGTGGTTTCTTGAAAACTATTGTCACTCGGCACTTCGTTTACCCCGCTGGCACGCGTAACTTCCCGAAGAGAATCAACACCTGGCACTTCATCGTCCGAAATTTTCCTGCGATTCGCAACTTGTGTCCCGTTCGACGATCGATCGTTCACCATTAATTTATCCTTAGCACTATCGATCTTCTCCTCACTGGACTTCAGTCTCCTGGTACCTGGTATCGAAGGAGACACCCCGTTCGAAGAGGCCAACACTCTGTGACGCTTGCTTGTCACCAGAGTCGAAGATTCTTCGCTTATAGTTGATCTTTGATTTAACACTGCGCTGGCGCTCTTCCTTAAGAATCTCCGATCATTAGCACCCTCCTGCTCGCTGGTTCGCAACTTAGTGTGGTTCCATCTAACCGTACCTCTGTTTGCGATCTCCGGCAATTTGGTGGATCTGGATGTCGACGAGACAACGCTATCGTTATTCGTGGCTGAATGCAACGAGGACCAAGTAACTGCCGCTCGCTGGCCGGCTGCACCTCGTTGTTGTTGCGAAACAGCTTTCCTCGATCGTTCCCCCACCAGACTGTCAACTACACCGGGCAACACACCAGCAGCTGCGGCTGGCTCGACGGTCGCGCCAGCACTGAGTCCTGTCGGCGTTCGTGCCGGTTCTATACCGCCATCACTGGCACGAGGAAGCAGAAGAGGAGAAGACGGCGGCGGCGGCGGTGGTTGCTGCTGCTGCGGTCGCTGCTGCGACGATCCACCGCTCGTTATCTCAGCACCGCTACTAGCAGCACTACCTCCTCCCCGTCTTTCCTCGCCGCTTAATCCGGGTCCGGTGTAGTTGCGCAACAATCGCGTCACGTTCGTTATCGTATAAGCGTACACGTGTTGCTGTGGATGCTGCTGCTGCTGCTCCTGCGGCTGTTGATCCGAGTCGACGACGACGACAGGTGCGGACGACTCCGTCTTCGAGGGCGATGTCAATGATGGCGATGATTTCGAGACGACGTCGCCGCCGGCCGACACGCGAACCGGTCGATCCGCGATGGGATCCACGACCGGTTGCTGCTTAACGGTATTCCGATGGCTCCGCTCGCTCTCGAAACTCGACAGCCCGAAGCTGTTGTCCGGCACGACGATTCGCAGAGTCGACGATTCCGCCCGCGATGGTACCAACGACGTCGTTTCGGTGCTGTCGCTCTCTCGAGACTTCTCACTCTCTCTCTGCGATGTTGATATTGTCCTCTCAACACCCGTTAACTTGTGCTCCGATTTCTCCGCGTTCCCTGCTTCCGTCTCCGCCTCGGTGACTTTCTTCTTTTCGCTATCCTTCCCAAAATCATTGATCCTCTGAAAGCTTTCGGCGGTCCCATTCGGAGCCGTTTCGTTCGAGAGTTTCGCATCGATTTCACTCTCCACGATGATCCTCGCCTCAACATCGAATTGCCGCGGTATCTGGGTCGTCGTGTTCACCTCGCTAACATGGGCCGCGTTTTTTCTCTCTAGCGGGACTCGATCGCGGCTTCCGTCTGCATAAGCGGACGAGTCGCTGCGGTGGAATTTGTCCACCGTATTCATCTCGCTCTTTATTTCCGAGCCACCGACGATACCAGGGCTCGACTCGTTCCCGGGAATAATATTGGACACAACGTCCGCGGTGGGCCTTGGCTTCCGATAATATAACCCGTTACCTGAGCTTCTGAACGTATTCTTAATCCTCGATACTTGATTCTTCTCAACCGTTCGGCGTTCTAACGTTTCCAACGCAATATTCATCTCCTCGTTCATAATCTCCTCCATCGACGTCGCGATCGTCGCGGTGACTCTCTTTGTGGAATATCTTCTGCGTGAGGAAGTCGGGTTCGTCGATGTCGTCTCTACGGAGTTATTACTGCTGCTGGTGATGTTCAGCGCATCCGGCTGGAGCTTCTGGCCGAAATAAAGAAATTGCGACATATCTTCCACCGGAATATTACTCTCCACTGGTCGGAAGTGATTGTACAATGACTCTGGCATTGATACGGTGTTCTTCTTGCGCACTTCTGCGTCTCCCAATTTTTGATTGATAGCTGGCGTTGAAGCGATCGAAGAAGGTGTCGAAGAGATGTTTTCGTTCTTCTCGGTCGTCGGCGATAGAGATTCGTTTTTAGATGTTTTCGTGATTCGCGATTCCAACTCTCCTCCCGTCGCGTTCAGACTGATCACGGAAACGATTTTTTCAATCGGCTTCCTTGATGATTGTGGAATTTCCTCTTTCATCGATATCTCTGTTCGAGCGTTTGTGACGTAAATGCCATTTCTAGTCTCTTGGGTTTCCAGAACGTCCTGAGGGTCCTTCGAAATGATGTCGCCAGGTCGTGGCCTACGACTAGAAAGAATCCGGTGAGGCTCATGCAAACGTTGATTCAAAATCTGTCGTCTTCTTGCAGTGAGAATGTTGCGTAATGTCTGCTCGCGTTTAGCCTTTGACGACAACAGTTCCATGTGTAAGGATGTACGCCCATTACGATGATCCGTGACTGACGTGTCTGCAAACAAAAATGGTATTTCTGGAAAACATCTTTAATTTCCTCAAGTAAATTAAGTACAGAAATAGATGATAACTTCATAGATATAAATATTGATGAGTAGAAGGAATGAATTTAATTTTAATGACTCGTATAAAAATAACTAAAGTTCACAGAATACGTTATATTAATCATTTGTTATGACAAAATTTAAAAAAATGTTTAGTGGCTTGCAAAAAAGAGAACGAAATAAAATTATACATACAGTTTGCAATAATTTTTTTTTATAGTTATGCTAGTATTCGTTAGATATTACATTGAAGAAATACGTCTTAACGCGATTTCTAAATGTTAACCGATCGCGTGTGCTAAACAATGATACTATGATGTGTAATTGAAGCAATTATAGATTCTGGTCCGTTTCTACACGGATCCGACGACGGAAAGGAGGAATTTTCTACGGATTAATGCGAATCGCTGTTTGCAATCATTATCCGTCAGAGCGTCTCGGTGAAAACCGGAAGAACATTGACCATTTCTTCTTTACGCTACACAGCAAATGTAATTAAGTTCTCAATTAGATTTGCGTGCGACGGGCGAAACGAAAAAAATTCTCGTGGAGAGAAGTTCTTCAAGTAACGGTGTTCTTCAGAGTCGCGAGTGGTTTGGGGATACGAGAGGTTCGGTTTACCGTTACTTCTCTCACAGTTCCATGTGCTCGACGAGCTAATAATCGTCTGTCACGATTGTAAAAACGGACCAAGTCGTATTCATGGATCCAACATTTCATTCTTGAGTTTATTCAAAGCATCTACGGTTAAATATTTAGTTAGATACATACATGCATATGCAGAGAGAGAAAGAGAATTAGAAATATAAAGAGAGAGAGAGAGAGAGAAAGATTGAAAATAATTTTGTTTAGATCACCAAAATAATTATATAGGATATAAAACTTTACAATGTTGTCATCAATGTTTAAATGTTTCACATAATTATTTTTGTTTTCAGATCGATATCCAGCTGTTTTAGCTGTTTTATACATCAACAAAATCGTTCTGTCATGTACAATTAAAACTTTCAATGAAAAGAAAATTATTAGTTTCTGCCAATAAATTAACTTTCGTAAAAAAAAAATCTCAAATGAGAAATATTAAATAAAATCTTAAATAAGAAATATTAAATAAACATAAATTTCAGTGCAATATTATTATATCGCTGCATTGATAGAAAAGCAATATATTGTAATTGAAAGCATAATATGAAAAGAAAATAAAGTTAAACGAATTGTATTCACTATCCTAATTAAAACGTTGTATGTAACAATTCACAGTTTTAAAAATGTTCTATTAAAAAATTACTAATTTTGAAAGGTGACACTTTTCCATCAACGCAGCAATGTGTCCATAAACTATTCTTTTTAACTTCGTACTCGAGCGAATTTCTCGTTTCTCTGTACTTATACTCAAGAATTGCTCCTCGCGATTTTCTCATGGTACAATAACGTCTGCCGACAGCCATATCGTGCAGATAATGGGCGTTGCTCGTTTCGCTTCGCTTCGAAAATTCGTTCGTACTGTAAAATGCCGAAGAACGCACGCCATAATATCTACGTACAAGCATGTTCCGCTGGGGGATCATTAAGAGCTCGTCGGCAAGAATCGAGAGAAGATGCTGCGCGTCACGAATTTATTCTCTCATTGTCCGTAAGCGGGCCCGACCCCCAAAGCGGACGCTTCTCGAATCAGTAAAAAACTTGAGAGACGGTACAGCTGTAACGAACTTAATTTACAACAACGTAAAGTCTCGGCTTGTGAGCTCATTAAAGGGTTCAATATTTCGTGACGGTATGAATTTCCGAATGCTCCATGAAAAGGCCCCGTGAATTCGGAGATTATCGTGACATACAGCAGCTCGGTTTTCATTTGCGATTCTCACCTAACGCGTTATTCTGTGTTAAAATATTTCCTGCGACTTCGAAGTTATAAACTCGAAGCCAATGTGTGTTGAGAATTTAAAATTCTATAGAATTTGTGATACTATAGAATTTTTTTAATATATTACTACAATTTATGAACAATAGAAAAATTTTTTAAGGATTTTCTGGTAGAAAAGCAATAAAAAATGTATAAAAGTTACTCCTTCCATAAAGTGTTTAAGTTTTCTGAAATTTTTATTTCGACTCCTTGAGCAATACCTTGATTTTAAAATAATAAGGTATTACTCAAACATATATCATTTGTTATAACAACAATATAATAAAAAAATATCATTAAATTGTTTAGAAAAAAAAGAGTAGAAATATAAAAAAAAACATACTTACGAGTTACACATTTTTATTCCTCTAAAATCAGTTATTACATCAAAAATTGCATTTCAAAATTAATACTAAGATTTTAATAATTTCAAACGTTCAAATTTATTTTTTGGAAAACTTTGTTTTTTAGTTGTGTCGTTGTTGAAGTAATGAAACGATATAAAGGTCAATTTCTGATTGCTGGAATAATAACTTGTCATCGTGTATACGGTAATCTAAGACATTGCAGGCTCGACAACCAATTCAACATTTTAGAGATACATTTCAACGAAACAGATATTCCGAACGTGCAAATCGCGAAGTGGAATCCGCCCTGTTGTGGAGCCTGCTTATAAATATACACGAGTATCCCGCCAACCCGAGCTCTGAATAATGCAGTCTGCCTAATCTCGAAATCGCGGGAATTGTCGTCTAACCTTCTACTCCATACGGAATTTTCATCAGTCTCGAGAAAGCATAAAGTAGAGAACGTGATAAACAAAAAAAAAGTAACAAAAATCCGAAAATTTCCTACTACATACAATAATTTGAAAAAATATTTGAATCGATGAACAATTTAAAAAATATAATTGTATTTTAATATATTAAATGAGTTTACTACTCACTAAAAAAATGTACTGAGCTTTAATAGATATTTATTCGAATAGTACTAGCTGAATATTTACTGAATGTAAATATGTATTTATTTTTGGTACAAAAAAAAATTAATTCGATTTAAATATTATTTTTTTTATATTTCATTTTATTTAAATATCATTGTCTCATTTAATAAATATTTATTTACTGGAGATAAACGTCAACTTAGTATTATTAAAATAAATATTTATCAAAATATTAAAAATTAGTACATTTTTTCTCAGCTACACAAAAAAAAACAATTTTATTAAAGTATCTAAAAATTATGCTAGATACAGATCTGAAAATAATTTCTTTAGACCAAAATAATTATGTAGAACGCTCGAGCTAGTTTCTGAAATGTCAAAACCTTTTGTGAAATTGCTCATTAACCTTGAGTGTCCTACATAATAATTTTTAGTCCAACAAGATTATTTTCAGATCTGTGTGTATATCTAGTTAAATTTTTCAATACTTCATTAAAATAGTTTTATCTATGTATAAAACACACTATTATACCATCCAGATTTAAAGTAGGCAACCATAAAAATCGCGTCTGTATAAGCACTGTAAAAGCAGGAGAAAGACAAGGCTCACTGTCGTAAGTTCGCGAAATTGTCGTCGCGAATTGTCGTCACGAACGTGACCACATCATAATATTTTATGTGGACACGTATATGAGGAAGGTCAGTGTTGTCTCTGTTCTTGTTCCACGAGTTCCCGATTCTCTCAAGTCTTGACGACCACGGACTAACTGGCTGGCTTGTTGGTCGGCTGGCTGGCTGACTGCCCGAGTGAACTACAATGCGGGCGGCACGTGAGATGACTCTGAGATGTGTCACACACTCGCGGACTGGACCCACGAAAGCGGACCCCAGATTCGACGTGAGATGCGTGAGTCCGGGCCCTGCGAATCGCGCGTACCGTTTCACTGTCCCACTTTTGTTACGAGGCCCAGTTCGGTTCTATTTTTTTTTTATTTTTTATCTTAATGCCTGTTTTATTATCGTAAACGCGCGCATCGTGCATCGTGCTGCAATTTTAATAACTTCAACGTAATGCATTCTCACATCAACGAGCGGTCTTTGTTTGAAGGGAGGAATTATTGCCTGCATGGTTCTATGAAATTATCGTGTGTTCATGCAGTATTCGTGTCAAAACTCCGATTGCGAGAACGATAAAATAATAGTAGCTGCGTAACAATTGACGTATTTTCCATGAACATATGCTTTAGCTTTATTAACTTCTATTATTCTTCGTTTTTATTATTTCTCAGAAGAGCGTATTTTATACCCGAGGCAATCTAATAAATCATCGTAATCTTATGGAGTGTTTCAAGTTTTTCAATATTGTATGAATTATCATTGAACTTTAGTTTTTTTACATACTAAATATACCTTAAAATTTGCTTAAATAGTCTATAAATTAATACTTTATTATTTATCAACAACTCTTTTCAAATTTCGATTTGTTTATAACTTAAAAAATTAATTGTAGCTTTGGAAAAATAAATTACTTTAATTTCAAATTTATTACAAAATCTCTTAATTTTTTATGAAACATATATTCCAATATTTTAATTTTCAGCTATTCAATCATCAGCACGTGCTACAGATTTATTGTTATCCCTCTCTTATCTCACGATTGGTAAAAATTTCCGCTGTGTATCTTATACCTATAATATAAAAGTTAGAAAGTCTTAATAAACTCGTCGCGTAGAATTTGCAAGTGAGTCGCGACAGGAAGTAAGTTTGCTGACGCAGTCAGCAGATGTTAGGGAGTAAGGTGGCAATTACGGCTTAAAGTGTCATAATATGTCTGTCTGTATGGTGAATATGTCTCTATTACCAGTGTCATTACATAATATCATAGTACGTAAGTTCTAAGATATTCCACGATATTGCCGCGCGACTCGTCGCCTCTTCGTCGGCTTCCGAAACCTAATGCCGCTTAGCTAAGCGCGATCGTAGCAGATAAATATTTCAGGCTTGTAGTCACCCTTACCTGTGTAATGCGATGCGATTCGAACTAAGCATACAGATATTCATACATGCATATGAAAATTGCGTGAAAATATTTGATAGAACATTTTCC